CTCCACCAACGACTTGGTAAGGTACAAAGTGTGAATTTCATGGGCTAGCACCATTTTCACATTTTCCTAAAGTAACTAAGATTGGGAATTTATAAACATTTAGTTACTTTATAATATTCATTATACTTTTAATGAGAATTAAAGTCATTGTCCTACCCGTTCGGCTAACGACCCTCCACCGATCAAGGTCGCGGTGGGTGAGAGTGGACACCCATTAAGCTGCCATTTTATAGGCAACAACCTTATACCCCCCTTATAGACCGGCTTCGTGAATGAGGCCTACTAACGGTAAAACGACTTGATCTTATACATATATATAAATATTAATCATTAATCTTATAATAGTATAAGGGTTGAATTTTAACTTTTAAAATCCTAAGGGTTGGAATTAAAGTGTGTGTGACTTTACAAATTCCAAAACTTGAGGGCAAGTTTTGAAACTATTCAAAGCTTTTCATTTCATAACTTATGAGTTAATGGTTCATAAAAGTGAAGACTCTTCATTTTTATGTAACTTATGTGTTTTAAATGTACATTAAAGAAAGTGACATTTGGAAATCCATAACTTGAGGACAAATTATGGATTCCATTAAAACACATAATTGATCAAGAATTAATAATTAAACAATTTAGCAAGTAATTCCTATGATCTAACAATAACTCATAAGAACATTAATATCATATCAAAATTTCAAGAATCATATGAACACATATAAAACATGGAATTTTGATATTGGCCATTGTAAATGGATTAGCATAACCATTACACCATCTAAAACAGGTTTTAAAACATCAAAACAGGTTAGGTTAATGTTTCTAGTCCATTTCCAGCAGCAACAGTCAAAAAACTGCAGTCAGAGCCTCCTACTCGTCGAGTGCAGGAACCTACTCGACGAGTAGGATGAATTTGTGCTTGGACTCGACGAGTCCCCCCATGGACTCGGCGAGTCCACAGTCCAGACAGCTCAATTTTTCGATTTTTTCACAGTTTGCATCAAGTATTCAAGAAAACAATCCTAGGCTCTGATACCACTTATGGGTTTTGAGCGTCCTAACACTCCTATGGTGTACATGCAACCCTAGAAACCTTGGATCTATGTTATACTATGAATACATGCAAATTTGTTTTTCCAAGGTTCATAACCTATCTAGCATGGCATGGGGAACTTTAAACATAAAAGCTAGAAGAATTACATACCTTTCAATAGTGAGTTGATTCCTTGGAGTTTGAGAGCCAAGCACCAATAATGTGGATGCCTCAAATGGAAGTCACAAATCACCACAAACTTTGGAAAAACTAGGAGAGTGTATGTTTGCTTGTAGAAATCGGCCACCTTCTTTACACACACCACTAGTGGCATTTCAAGCATCATAAGCTCCTTTATATAGTGTGGAGGATTAGGGTTACATCCATGTAAACCCTAATACCCATGACTCTTCCTTTCCAAGGATCATTGGGTTAAAAGCTCTATGGACTATCCATGGACTCCCATGCATGCCAAGCCCATTCCAAATGAGTATTAGCCCACACTTATATAAATACAAGAGCCCATATTTAATTAGTCACCTTTTTTATCACCAAATTAATTCTAAATTAATTTATGATCAAATACTAATTAAATAATATGATTTCATATTAATATATTATAACTTATAATATATTAACAAATCATAAACATACAATTCTCAAAGGTTTAACCACACAAATAGTTCGGGTGAAGTGCAACCCAAATGGACCATGTCGGGTCGGGTCAAGTATATACCAAATAAAGTTATGGACTTAGACACCTTATCCAACATAGGGATCTCCAGGGTGTGAAATCCGGCCATAGTGTCTGCGCGAGGGGTGAGAGACATTGTAAAAAGAGTATGCATATAGTATTTCCAAAAATACTCTTATAGTATTTTAATTATTTAAGGTTGAGTTCCTTAGAAGTTTTGGATACGAGGTAAGCTTCTAGATCCATTTCCCGCCATGATTACTTCCAGACACATGTTTGGTCATATTTTGAATAAATATAGTTGATGAGGCTATATTTATCCCCAATATGACTACATAACTGTCCGAGTTTAATCACAGTGTTCAATTTCCTCCAGAGACTTTTAGTGTTATTATTTTAATGTACACTTAGGTATTCATTTTATTTAGAGTGTTTTAGTCCCATTGTATTTATAGTTGCATATCAAGTATGATTAGATATGCCAGTTCACTATAAACAATGCTCTGATACCAATCTGTCACACCCCCGAACCAGACGGCGGAAACGTCCGGGGGCTTGTGCGTGAATTCATCTGGTAATATCATCACAATGTATATAATTGAAACAAGACAACACCCTCATCATACATATCAAAATACAACCAACATTGTTTACATAAAGTATAGTATCATAAATTACATGCCAAAATATTCAATGTATGATGATAACAAAATATGACAAATTCCACATGTTCTTGTAGACCATTCCGCTTAACCATTCCCTGAGAATACAAGTTATTTTGAAAATGTCAACATATATAATGTTGGTGAGTTCATAAGCATATTTGAATGAAAAGTTTTGTATCTTTCGTAAAACGCCAGAAAATCCAATATTTTCTAAAAAAATGGTTTAAAAGTGATGTGTCAAAATCAAGTACTAATGCATGTGTGTTTTCTGTTTTTTTGGAATGTATATAAAAATGTAAACCGGAAAAGATCCAGTAATTTTCTGTTGTAATTAGAAGGTATTGTTTAAATGTATACTTCCCTAGAAAATCCTATATTTTTTGTTTACAAAAGTGTCGTGGTCTCAAAACCCTAAGACCGAATATCAGTTTATGTATGCTTTTGTATCAACAAGATTCTATATGTATTCCGTAAAATTATGATGGAGAGGATCTTTATGTGAGCCGTTTTAACCATACTTGGTTATGACGAATTCGCCTGTCGTGGGTTTTTCAGGCGTCGGCTTGTTTAAGGTAAGGTTTGTCACCCTAGATTGGCCTAGTCTAACTGTAGCGAACAGCTCAGGTGTGCGGTGTCACCCCGTATAGATCTATACACAAACTCTCGCTCTCCCTCCAGAAGACTCTGGTTATAACTACAGGCTACGATTGTACACTCGAGAGGTGTCAACCGACATGTCTCACTAGCATCCTTAACTGAGTTTACGCGAATATTGTATTATGTTATATAATGTTTCTGTGTACGTTTTATGTTTGAAAAGCCCAATGAGTAAGTATATGAATGTACGAGGCCCAACAGACATGTAGAAGGACCACTAAGGCCCAAATAAACATGTATTGTATAGTCTAGGCCCAATAAGCATGTAAATGGGCCACTAAGGCCCAATAAACATGTAATGTATAATCCAAGCCTAATAAGCATGTGAATGGGCCACTAAGGCCCAATAACATGGATTATAAGTATTAGGCCCAATAAACATGAAAATTGACATCTTTGGCCTAATTGTATATAAATTGACATTTTTGGCCCAAGTATATATATATATATAAATTGATGTTTGCGGCCCATTATTATAAAAATTTACATTTTCAGCCTATTTATATATATAATTTACATTTTCAGCCCATTTTAGATAAAAATGACATTCTCGGCCTATTTATATATATAATTTACATTTTCAGCCCATTTTAGATAAAAATGACATTTTCGGCCTATTTATATATATAATTTACACTCTCAGCCCATTTTGGATAAAAATGACATTTTCGGCCTAGTCTACCCTCTTGATGAGTTCTTTGAGTTCTAGGAGCTTCATGGAGCATAGATCACGGTTTGAAGAGCAAATGACTAACAAGTTTTAACAAAATCATGAAGTTAAACTTCTTGAGTAAGAGTAGCTTACCAAAATGGATGAGTTCTTGATGAAGTTCTCTTGAAACACCTACACTAACTCACGAAATTTTGAGGAGGAAATGGGAGTTCTTGAGAGAATATTTGAGAGAGTTTGATAGTGGAAATGTATGTGTGTTTGTGGGTGCTCTCGTCCGAGAGAAATAAGAGAAGAGAGAGGAGGATTTTGTTGGTCATTACATGGTGGATTAGAGAGTTTTAGCTTAGATATATGTGAGATCAATTGCATGGATACACTATATACATTAGTGAGGTGTCAAATTATTAGTAAACCTCATTTTCTCCCTTTTTTTGTTTTAATTGGCCCGAGAATGGGCTAGGAGAAAAAGAAATGAGATAGTTTGGGCCATTCCTTGACTTAGTTCGAAATCATGAGGCCCAAAATAAATACTTTTCAGCCTATTGGGCCTTTATGAGGGTTCACGGCCCAATGGTGCCCAAGGATGTAGTTTACGGCCCATTAGGGCTTATGAAACTAGATATGGCCCATCATGGCCCATTAGAAGTAAGATGGATTTATTCTAGGCCCATATGGCCCAAAAATACCCTAATCTCATGGATGTGGGTCCACTTATAGCCCAAATAGGGTTCCTAGGCCCAAAATAGTTAAATTGAAAGATTATTGGTCCATTAGGCCCAATAAGAGGATCCTAGTCCATATTAACTTGAACCAGGATTTCTAGGGTTTTCAATCCATATGAGATGTATTGTATTAGGTTTTGAACTTAAATCAAGAGTTTGGATTCAAGTGGATGGTTTTGATTAAGCATAGAGTAGGATTTTCACTTAGAGTACATGCCTTACAATAGATGATGTTTACATGAAAATAGAATTTCCTAGCTGAAAATGCTAGTTGTGACAATTCTTCTCACACCTGACATTTTCTTCCTGCTCTTTTTGTTGATTCAAACCTTTTAAAGATGTTTAATTCTGTTGAATCGTAACAAAATCAAATTAAGGAAATCTGATCGAATACGTACTGCGATTGCTAAATCAGAGATTATGAGAGAGATCTAATATTCCAGCAAGTCGATCAATCGCTATGTGAATGGTTGTGGTTGCGACCATTCAAATACAGAAAAGGAGAAGCAAATCGTGAATGGAAACGAAGAAAGTGAAGTTGGGTTGATGTCGAATTGAAGATATGGAGTTGCTATGGTTGGCCGATGGTAAGGGTGTGAGACCGATTTATGAAGGGGATAAATTTAGGGTTAGAAAAAGTCAATTAGATAAAGAGGGGAACGACTCTAGATATAAACCTGAAGAAATTAGGTTAAAAGTCAATACCATGATTATAAGGATTATTTTTGGAAGTTATTAATCATATTACTAAATTACCCTTATTTATTTATTTAATTATTTAATTTTTTATTTAATTTTGATTGACCCACATTTATGCATACAATCACACAATAATTACTTTGAACACCTGAACCTATCTTTCTCTCTCTCTCTCTCTCTCTATATATATATATATATATATATATATATATATATATATATATATATAATATGTTCGAATCATTTTGATGTTAATTACACGCATTCAAAGATAAAATATTTATTGTGGACAATCTTTTTAATTATTAACAATCTGGTGTGAACGATCTTTTTTTGATGTTTTGACATATTACATTAAACTTAAATCAAATAACTTTTAATATAACAATGTCCGGTTTATTTTATTAAAGTGATGCATCATATTTTTAATTTAAAATGGAAACTAGAAAATATATTTTAATAAGACACCGATGTACCCTAAAACGAAATAAATATTTCGTTATGAATTGTTGTAAACCCGATAAAATACTCGAAACCCGACGGAAAAATCCAAAGCTGATGGGACGCCCTGATAAGATACGGGCAAATGTCATGTTAGCCCATCAAACTTGTAATGTTTGTTTTAAAAGTTCATCAAACTTTTTTTTTTGTACGGTAAAGGAATGAACTTTCGTTTTACCTGTTCAAAAAGCTAGTTAACCCACGATAAGTAGTCTTAATTTCATTGTAGCCTCCTCTCCTCCAAATAAAAATAAAAGGTTAAAAGATAGCGATGGATCATTTCTTGATGTAGGCAACGCCATCAATCATTCATAACCTCTTGAGTTAGTCTATCGAAGAACGAAGGGCAACATTGTCAAAAATCCAATGTTTATCGAAATGAATCACAGAAAACCGAATGATTATTGCTGAATCAGGAGGGATTCTTATTCTCGTTGGTTCACTAACATCCGAAGATCTTACCACACAACAGCACGCAGTGACATCGATTCTAAACCTCTTGGTATACGATAACAACAGAGGATTAATAATGCTGTAAAGCGCAATACCTTCTCTTGTTGAACTTCTCAAATCTGGAACCATGTAAACGAGAGAAAACGCCGCCGCGACGCTTTTCAGCTTATCGCTTTCCGACGAAAACAAGATCGTAATCGGCGGATCTGGTGCGATTTTGGAGCTGGTTGATTTACTTGAAAACAGAAGCAAAAGAGGGAAGAATGAAGTTGCGACGGCGTTGTTCGATCTCTGTATATATCAAGGAAATAAAGGGAGGGCAGTTAGGGCTAGGATTGTTGCGCTGTTGCTTAAAATGTTGACCGATTTGAATAACGCTATGGTTGATGAAGCTTTGAATTTTCTTTCGATTCTTGCTAGTCACAACGAAGCTAAATCGGCTATGGTGAGAGCTCAAATTATTCCTGATTTGATTGATTTTGTAAAATCTGGGATTCTGAGAAACAATTAGAATGCTGCTTCGATTTTGCTTTCGTTGTGTAAGCAAGACGATGAGAATATTGGATGTGTGATCAGACTTGGGGCATTGACGCTATTGATGGAGCTTGCTGTGAGTGGTAGTGAGCGAGGTAGACGAAAGGCTAACTTGTTGTTGGGCCATATTGAATGGTCTCGATAAAATCTGGAGCATATATAAGTAATCATTGACTGATTTATTTATCTAATTTTTAACTTTTTTAAATTATTCTTTAGTTAAAGAAAAATAAAGAGGTGAAACAAGTTCTTGTACATTTCTTTGTATTGTTGTTGGCCACGATGTTATGTTTGATATGGTGAGTATACTTTAATGGAGGCAGTTGATGGTCAAACATTGGTCAAGACACACATTTTACAGGCTTACTACCCGGTATCAGGTCATATAAAGATATTTTAAAACAGGAAAACAAAAGTTCATTCCCTTAATGTACAAAAAAAAAAGTTGGGTGACATTTTAAAACAAACACGACAAGTTCGATGGACTAATATTACATTTGCCCATAAGATACCCGAAAGATATCGGGAGGTTTGGGAAACCATGCCTCTCCCCGAACCCGCCCCGTTGTCATTCCTAATTTAGATTTGAAAATGTAAAAACATTGGTAACAATATAATGGGTCAATGTCACAACAATAAAATGGGATGTCATGTGTAATAATTAATGGGTTATAATTATCGCCGAGCACTAAGAGATTCTACATCCTTTTACTAAAGGGCTTTTAACCCAGCGGTAATAGGTGTTGTCTTTCCTCTTTGAGGTCGATAGTTCAAGTCTCGTTCGGAACATAAATGATATTAGGAGTATTTTGGTAGGAGTATGTTAGATTTACAGTTCAAAAAAAAAAAAAAAGATACTACATCCTTTAAAAAAAACAAAAAAAAAACCAACATTACATCTTTTATTCTATTACGGGTTCAAATACTAGTTCTCAACCTTCACAATTATCAAATATCTAAATAAGGAATTATATTACATGCCATACTACCATTGACCTCCTTTATTGCCATTATCATTAGATAAACTTTAAGTAGTTTGTGATTATGGGTAAAAATAAAATACGTTCCCTGTATTGTTTGCGAGAAAAATTTATGTTGCTATTCTCAACAATTTTCCCTAAACTAAACACCCAAAACTGTTCAAAAATAAATACGATCTTACAATATAATATTGAAACAAAAAAATTGTAGTTTTACCCTTTCGGTTGGTTAAATTTAATGTGTGTCCATTTGACAGAAAACAAATTATATCATAAAGGCCAAAAATTTAAGTGCTACTTTGATAAATAGTGAAAATTGACATTCAATCCTTTACACTCGTGCTTACAAGCCTCTTCAAGGTTACCATCATCAAAAGTGCAAAAACACCGAGAGAAAAAAAAAAAAAAAAAAAAAAAACATTGTCAATTTCATCTCACATAACAGTTTATGAGTATCGAAAAAAAAAGTGATTTGTGCCATGATTACACGCTCTCTGGTTACATTAACCAGATCCAACACAACATTAAGCCTATTCTTCTTGTACAAATACATTTCAATTATCTTATTAATTAAACATGAAGATATATGGTTAATGATGTACACCGTTAAGCATATTCTTCTTGTACAAACACATTTCAGTTATCTTATTAATTATATCCATCTCCATTAGTATTCACATTTAGGCCATATCATGTGAGGGTGTTTTGGTCTTTTTAAGTATAATATAGACTAAATTCATAACATTTGATAAACCGCAGGGACCATTAGGGACCATTTTCTTAGTATTCACCCCTAGGTCATGTGAGGGTATTTTGGTCTTTTTAAGTATAACATGGACTAAATTCGTAAGATAAGATAATGAGATGAGGTGCAAGAGAATAAGATTGAGGAAGGAGGATTCAAACTTAAGACCTCCTCCCTCTACCACTAGAAGGAGGATTGGAGCTTGAGACCTCCTCCCTCTACCACTAACCAGCCTAAGACTAATCCATTAAGCTGCAACCAATATGTTATATAATTCCGAAAACTAAATTATATTATGTAAAATCGAAAAAATGATAAAAAAAATTATATTTTTTTTACATAAAACTTTTTTAATAAAACAAAAATTACTTTTACGTATTATAAAAAAGTGAATTATTACAATTAATTTATAAGTTTTTCTACGTATTCATTTTACGTAAAATATTTTTTTTAAGTATTTAAAAAATAATTTTTCGTATAATACGTTATCATGTTGTTATAATCTTAAAATATACTTTTACATTATGTTACCGTCTTTAATTGGTTTAAATCAGAACTACAAATATTTTGTTTTTTAACGCAAAAACGTTAACAACGTGATAACATAAGGTAAAAATATGTTTTATAATCAAAGCAAAACGACATATATTTTTTATGTAAAACAAACTAAAAACGGTAACATAAGGTAAAAATATGTTTTCGTATAATATGTTATCACTTTAACGTTTTTACGTAAAAAAAATACGTGCATTTTCGTTTTAAATCAACTAAAGATGTCACGATAACGTAAAAGTATAGTTTTTGATTATAAAAACGTAATAACATATACTTTACATAAAATAACTATATACAAAAAACTTTTTTTATGTTTTTTTAAGATTACTTTTCGTATAATATTTTATTACGTTTTCTTTATGTATTTAAAAGACAAAACTGCAAATTTGGTCCTTGTGGTTTGCCAAAACCTTTGGATGGGGTCCAAAAAGTTTCCAGCTTGCACCGAAGGTCCAAAATCAAGGTTTTCATGGGTTTTTAGTCCATTTTGTCATTGTCCGTTTGTTTGGAGCCGTTAATGCCATCACGTGCCCTCCATGTGAGGGCATTTTGGTCATTTTAGGTCCTAGCCTCCGTTGCCGCCACTTCAATTAATAAGATTGCGGACTGTACTTCACTCCTTCGTCTTCTACTCATACCTCAATAAGCCAGACGCAAAAACCCTAACAATTGTCTGAGAATTGGCTTGTGTTCATGCTTTTGAAAATGTGGGGACTTAGAAATGTTGGAGAGAATGTTAACGTTCAAGAAGTTTATGGTAAGATTCAAACTTTGAAAAAACTTCGAAAAACTTTGTATTTGATGATCAAGCTTCAAACTTTGAAAAACTCTAACAACCGTCTCTTTCTGTTTTGAAGATGGTTACCCCAACATATTCTCTATTGAACTTCATCACGGAGGGAGTTTCACAAAGTTTCCAAATATCAGGTATATTAATGGGCAAGTAAGGTACTTTGATGTTGTCGACATTGATGAATTTTCTGTTCATGAACTAGACTTGATGATGAGAGAATTAGGGTATGATGGTACTGAAATCATGTATTACCATTTCCGTTTGCCTAATGAAGGATTTGACTTTGGACTCCGAGCATTAGGTAACCATGATGATGTGCGTAATCTCTCACGGTATGTTACCCATAACAAAATGATTAAAGTGTACACAGAGCATGGTCAAACGAACTTGCTTACATATTTTATGTCCCCAACTGGTCCAAGAAGGGTTATAATAGAAGACATGGACAATCAGGATTTTCTTAGACCCTCATCACATGTACTTGCTCATAAAGTGGTAACTCCAATCCAAATTGATGTTGGTGAGGGTGATTTAGGGTTAGCATTAACCTTATACAAATCAGCAACACCTGAATTTAGTAGGTCTAAAGGTTGGAAACATAGTAAAGGGGCATCGTCTTGTAGTAGAAAGCTTAACTTGGATTGGGAAGGTGGTGAAAAAACAATGGCAAGTGGTGAAGTTGATAAAGGTAAGGATGTTGAGCCAATGCATCCTGAATTTGTGCATCCTGAATTTGTTGTAGTTGATGCAGAAAACAAGTTAAACAAAGAGATTTATGTGAATGAAGAACTTGACATGAACAAATCCAATGTTGAGGGTGTAGAAGGATTTGCAGATGAGGGTGTTGGAGCATGAAAATGCTCTACAATGTCGAGTGTTTATTCCCTTGTATGAAAAGCATATTCCCTCCACTAGTATATAAAGTGGAGGTGATGGTCATTTTATGTATTAGTGTTCACTGTGTAGACTTGTAGTTTAGAGAGAGTGTGGTGGGATCTCTCCCACCATGGGAGAGTTATCTCTCCCAACCTATGAGTGTTCTTGTAATATTTTATCTCTATTTATCTACTATAGTTTTACTCACATATATTGTTCATCATGTTCGTACACGATTATCTTCTTGGTAATATCTTCCGCACCGATCCAATCGACAAAATGGTAACCTACAAGTGGTATCAGAGCAAGACCTTGGAGATCTCACGATTATTTCAAGGGAACGACCCCGATTGGTTTATTATCTTGAAGATTTTCGTCATTCTTGAAGAATTTCTCAGCCTTCGCAACTGAAAATTTTCAGTGAGTTATTTACTGTTTTATTGGTGATGACGTTAGAAAAATAAAAATTATGCTGCTACTGTTCATACATTTTTGCTGCTGTTGAATTTGAGTTTATGAAAAAAAAAATATGTTTGCTGAAGAAGATGAAGTTTCTGTTAAAAAGGTGGTGTTTGATTTTTTTATCCCATGCAAAAAGGTGTTTAGAAAAAGACGAAAAATATGATTTTGGGGTAAGAGATTGAACAGCTGGTCATGGATTCGGAGTATTTGATTTTTAGAAGTGTTGGGATATTTATTTTGGAATGTACAAGGTGATTGAGCTGGTGATACAAGTGTTAAATGCATGCTATTTCCGAAATGAAATTAATTGTTGGTGTATATGGATAAGATTTTCCGAGATACTATGATTTTTGGAGTAATTTTCGTATCTATATCCGGAGAGTATAAGCTTTGGTTGTTAATGTACAAGTTTTTTTTCCACACTGCTTTAATGCATGCTTTCAAATGTTGTTTTTGGGAGACAAAATCAGGCGTGTGAGTTTCACGCTTGAATCCATACATGACACCTTCGTGATGCTCCAATAAATGGTTGACATGTAAGCAGCCCCCGGGTCCCACCTTCATGAACCTGCCTCCTCACTTGCATGGGGAAAGGATTCATACGCATCAACTTTTATGGGACTATGGATACATCACTTGTCAACAGCTATTAAAGGCGGACCCACCTCCATTTAATGCTCATATGCACCTTTGGACTCCACTCTCATTTTCGGCAATTGATAGACACGTTCCCA